GCAACTTGGAAACAGGAAAAAAGTGATCAACAGAATATGAACTAAAAAACAGACTTTAAGTTAAAAATGTGTTCATTTTTCAAGATCAAAATGTAACTCTCAAAAATATTTTTTTGCATATCTACTCTGCTCTAGTTTCAACTACTGAACTACTTTTTCAAGCAAACTCTACTACAGGAAGGTCTTCATCAATTACCGATGTGACTAAAGAAATTCCCACAACAAATTTCACTGAATGCAGACCTCCTTAATGAAAACATGGGGTCTATATTGCTATTTTGTTAGCATGCAAGATAAAGAAAGGTTCTCCCAAACAACACTCCGGAAGTAACAAATATTCATTTTTCTTTTATGTAGAAGTAAACTGAGACTGAGTTCAAATACGGAAGAATGTGTGCAAAATTGAGTATAAAAGTATCAGCAATGAAAATATTCTAACAAATAGTAGACACCTCTACTTCTCAAGCACCTACATTAAACTGCTTAGGGAAGAATTATTGTAAGATAATATAATCTTTTTTAAAAAATAAATAGTGGTCATACACTCCCAATTCAAAACGCAGAGTTTGAAACAGAAAGCCAATTTCCTATCTTTCAACTAAATAACTACATACCTCCAGATGTAGCCTACAACTATGAACTCCACGCTTAACAGTACCTATAAGTTATCCTTGGGGTGTAGCCTTAAACAGATTACTGGGTAAGGACCAAGGTTTATGAAAAAGAACTCGAAAGGAGAGGAGGATTATCGGCAAAGTTTGGATAAGTAACTTATCCATCCACGAGTTATGTCGGTAGGGCAAACTACGACTACCAATAAAACTCGGAGTGGGGTGGGGAACCTTCGTAACTCAGAAGCAGCAGCAGGAGGCGTCGGAACCCATTCGGGGCGTGACAAAGAGCAGCGAAACCACCGGGAAAGAGGTGTGAGGCGGGTGTCTTATTCGTGGGAGAGGCCCTCAGGGGTGCTTAGCTGAGGCAGAAGTTACACTCGCGCCCCGAGCACGAGAAGGAAATAGTAGAACTTAAAGGAGGCAACAACCTCCCTCGCCTCTCGCTCTTCTTGATCCTGAGAAAGAGCCGAGAGCCGTTAGGCCCACGGAGCCGTCACCCCACGGGCGGGGAAGGACCCCTCTCCACGCCCGCCACTCCCTGAAGTGGAGACGAAGCTCTCCCTTTGCTGCCGTCAACCTTGGCACCTACCCGCGAGCGCCGTCCCTTCGGTAGCCGCGCCTGGCTGCCGCTCCGGGAAACGAAGTACTCGGTCGGTCGGCCCAAGCAGTCACAAGAAACACCAGCACGGGAAGTAGGGCGCGCATGCGCGTTCTCAAACCCGCTCGGGCTCGCCGGTTGGTCAGGTTGCTGCCCGCAGGCGCGCGCGCAGTCACCCTCTCTCTACACCCCTCCTTCCTTTCCTTGCGCACTCCTGCGGACATGCGCAAGAAGCTACGTATAGGTGAAAAGCGAGAACGGATTCGTTTGCGTAAAGGGGCGGAACCGCGCCACTATAAATCACGACTCGGAAAAAGAGCTGAAAAGCTAGAGCTAGAAAATTAGATCTATACGCATGCGTGTGAGTGACGTTAGGCGTCTGGAAGCATCTTAACCAATAGTTTGATAGATTAGGAGGGCAGGGACAGAAGTGCAGAATGGCCATGCGGGAATCGTAGAGAGTTTGCGTTTTTATTTTACACTCGGACGACTATGGGTCGCTGTGTGAAGTCTCGTATTTTTGTTGCTAATTTAATTTTATGTTTTATTATTATTAAATAATATAATTTTGTTGCTAGTGCTACAGTATATCGCCATGGGAAACTGCTTAGAAGTGCTGCGATTTTAAGCTTAGATAGCATACTTGTCATTATTATATATAATTTTGTTTCTATATTTATGAAGGTTTTTAATGTTTGTGTTGTGGATGTACAGTATTTTGATACAAATTTATTAAAGAATTTGCAAAAAATATTCTCCTGCAGATTAAACTGTTTAAAATATCTTGACCAGAATCTTTAGTTTTATTTCTGATAGAGGACATTATATGTATGGAATTCATGTTTCTAGACTCTAAAATGTCCAAGATAATTTTGTATAGTCCTGCTACCGGTACGAATGAAAAGAAATACATGTGGCCTCTGGTAGTATTCCCATAGTTGTAACTCAAAGAGTTTTTAATTTTGTATGTATAATTTTTGAAAACCTGTATTATAATTAGTATTAGTCCAAAAATCCTAATAAGCATGATCATTTGGCAAGTTCTTTCCAATCAGCTATGAAATTAAAATACTTGCACTCTGCTTCTCTCTGTGCACCAAAAAAACTTACAGAAAGCCAAGAAAGGAAATCTACAGAATGGTCACCTGGTTCTCCCTAACCATTGTAAAATTCTTCTTGAGGTTCTTCAAAGGATTCTGCATCTATAGAGAATTTTGCTAAACTGTTACCAGCTTGGGCCTATTCTCTTATATATGGTTTATAAGGGCACCTACAAGGTTTTTCTTCCTCCACTCAGTACAAACAGAAATGTGTACTTCCTAATGTATTTTTTTCAAGGAAAGATAGGTAGTTTTTTGAATGGGCTCATGAGCAAGTATTTTCCTGTTAAGACAGTATCTAATTCCAGAATAAAGAGGCTCAGATTGTCTCTTTATACCATTCACCATTACTATTGCATTGTGTTTCTCCTGTGTCAGAGAGGAGCGTTCCTATTTTCAGGGGGTGGGGATTCAGGTCTCCCTTTTCATTGGTTAGAAAATAGGTTCCAAGTCTTTTCACATCAGAGACATATAGAACACAATAGAGTTGTCTGAAGATGAAGGGGATACAGTAGGTCTTCAGATTCAAGGTTCAGAAATTGCCTTTTAGCCTAACAAAAGCTGTACCCTGCTATATTGAACATGCTGTTCATTACATTTTGTCTAGTATGTATCTACATCTATATATTTGTAGATGTAGATTTGTATATATTTGTAGGTAGTAATTATCTATAGATATAACTTCCATCAAGTTATAGTTAGTTTAGGCCAAAGGTATGGCTACATGATCTTGGCTTAGGGAGAATATTGTTTTAATAGGAGCAGATGTTAAAATGTAATTGTAAAGTTAATGACTGTAAGATTTATTTTGCAAATTCAGTTCTTGTATGCTTTAGAACCCATAGAATTACAAAATTGGTACACAACATGCGGGTATGAAGTGAACTACTGTTGTAATAGATGTTTTCAGAACACTATTTTGCTCAATAATGTTGATTTTTAGAGATGCAACTACCGACAAATGGAGAGATGCAGAAATGTATGGTGCAATTAATAACTTGCAAAGAATAAGAGGAAAGAAGAAATGTTATTCTATGTATTTCATATCCCTAATGGTCTTTGGAGAATATGGAAGAATAATAAGGAAGTATACAGGTTTTTGTAGTACATGATTTTGATCTTGGCAGGGTTTCTAGTATGACCCATTGTAGTGGTTTACTTATGTTCCATTTAAAATTACTTGGTTATTGCAAAACCTTTAAACAGCCTATCTGATAATTGAGAATAGATTTGGTGGAATGGAAGACAGTGTCCTAAAGGAAGGAGGAATTCAGCATGTTATGAGGTTTTTGAAGTTTTAAAACAAATTGACCATTGCACCAATCTTGGAACTTGCAGACTGGAAGTTGCCATACTGTATATTTTACACATAAATGCCAGGACTACTAGCCAGGAGCAGCCTTGTTTCAAGAGCAAACAGAATACTTTGTGTTGCAGCTTCTGTTAGTAGAAGACCAAGTCATAGGAAATACAGTTACTAACCCCTTAAGTGTAATTTCAGGCCCTTAAGTAGGTAATCCATGACAAGATTTATAATTTCCTATTTACTACCCATAAAATGATGACTGATAACCTACTTGCATACATACTATCATTTGCAAAACTAATTACAGTTGGTATCAGTGGACTGCAGAATTATTGCTGTACAAACTTGAAATTGTGTATTGATCAGGCAGAGCAAATGTATTTGAAGATACTACTCTGAGAGGAAGAAGAAGCAGTAATACAGGCAGAGAAGACTGCCCAGATATTCTCCAAAATCTGACAGAACTCTACAGAATGAAACAGGTGGCAGTGACATCTGCAAAGCACCTATCTAAATTCAAACTGCATTGTCAGATCAGCAATCTCACACCACAATTTACCACTCTCAAAGCAAAAGCGAAAGATTGAATCAGACTCTAGGCACTGGATAAGCAGACAAGATTACATATATAACATATATATGTAATCATTTGTGTATGAATATAATTGTACTAGGAATGACAGTACAGAAGTATCCCCTTGTTTTTTAATGCTTGGAAGCCAGTCATTTTTACCAGTTGATTTATACTTTGGGACAAAACCTCCAGGACTAAATGAGGTAATTCATCAACAATGTGTGAAGACTTAAAAAGTACCGATTGCATTACAGTATGCCTACAAGTTAGCCATTTAACATGTGAAAAACATCAGCAAACTAATGGAAGACAATAGGATGCTAAAATACTTAGATTCACAATTGAATTCAGGGATAGAATTCTAATATGTAACTTTAGTCTCCAAAACACAAAAGCTTGTTGGCTGATGGGAACCAGTGGTGCATATTATTTTGAATCAACTGGATGAATATCTCTGAACATCTACCAGTACAGAGTACAACAGGAAGACAAGAAAGGCTTCACCTAAATTCAACAGAGTTATGTTGAAACTCTAAATTTATTTTATCATCTGAATGAGTGTTCAACACAATCCTATTAGCAGTAGGACTAAAAAACATTGTACAGAAAAAGAACCAGTATCAGAATCCATGTGGAGTTCTGGACTAAACCCTTCAGCAGGAGAATTCACTCCATCTTCATACTTTGTAAGTGATTGTGATCAAGATGTGGGGAATGAAAAGCAATCTTGTTTACAGGGTGTGGTTCCATACAGCTCCATAGTGCCATTTGGATTAAAGGAAAATACTGATGTACCTTAAAAGTCAAGTTGGATTAAAGTCAAACCAGTTTAATGATTATGTTTCAAATGTTTCTATAACATAGCAAAGTGTTACAACAGTCATTACTCCACTGCAATCACTCTTGATGTCATTAAATCTAGTGAGAAACTACTGAGTAAAAGTATCCTTAAATAGAAGTGTGCTGTTGAGATAATGATATTTTAGTAGAGGAGACTGTAACCCTCCCCAAGGTTGTTGTTTATTTGTTAGATTTCACTCCTACCTGAGTGGCTAAATAAAGTTATCTTGGCCAACAGAGAAGAATAGCAAGTTTTGTCTATTGAGAGGAGTGTTACTCTATAGATTTCGGAAGAACCAGCATTTTGTTAAAACTTGTTTTAAAGATGCTGCTGAAGTTCAGTAAATAAGAATTACCAGTGGATCAGCAGGGAATCTTCTGGGTCATCTGATGACAGGATTTTTGTTACTATCAAGAAAGGGACAAATGGGAGTATCTTGGCTACTTGGACAATGTGAAATCTGTATTCTCATGTTTCTTGCATGTAAAGGTTATGTTCTCTATTATAAAACCCTAGTGCAAATGCAAAATAATTTGCAAGATTGTAAGATTTCTTTTCTAAATTCAGTTCTTGTAGGCCCTAGAAATCACAGTGTTACATAGATAGGGACACAAATATGAAACTACTCACATTTTGGGAATTTACTGAAAGACAATAGCTTCAGGCTTAAAAAAGATCTGTAATGTAAAAGGAACTGGGATCACAAACTCTGCTCCAACCTCCTCAAAATGATGGAGAATAACTTAATTTAAAGCACAATTATAGTTCTTAAGAATTGGAACCTCAGTGCAATTAAAGTTCCTAATCCTGTAGAATTCTGTAACTATGCCAGCAAAATACAAATATATGTATTCTTCAGATATTCTCCATAAATATGGGGAGTTCAGGGATAGAGGGATCACTCAGAGTGTACATCTCTAACTACTTCCATGCTTTCACATTTTGGATGGATGCCCATGGATGCCCATGTTGGGCAGAATCCCAGTTTTGAAGAATGAAAACATAAGAGGAAAAGAGATCCAAAGGGAAACACAAACAAAGTAGCTGGCTAGCCCACAATTCTTTTATCTATTATAGATGTTCATGAGCCAAAATCCATGAATCTTCTCAGCTTCATGCTCAAGAGTTCTTTCTAATGGCTGATAAAAAATAGGATTTTTTTTTCTTTCAACTTGTACAGTACTAACTTCTTATTCCTCTTTTCTGTCAGCTCTATTTTGTATGGCAATTATTCCATTTAGGATTGTAATTTTATTTGTAAAGGAGCTACCAGGGACCTGGTGGAGTTCTTCCAGTCTGGACATTACTTGAGATCCATGAAACGAATGTCCATGATGAGCAGGAAATTCTTTGGCAATGGGCGAGGTGCTGGTGAAAGCACTGTGAACACCTGGCGTTCCAGATCTACTCCAGTTACCACAATGAAACCAGCCACACTGGTCTCAGAGATATTCTCATCAGTGCCATCAGCAGTACTAACACTTAATAGGTGGTGAACCATGTCACGGCCAGGTGTAACTGGTACTAACTTGAGTTGATTGTCTTCCTGCGACATGCCCAGAGGCAGACACGAGTCAGGGATGGTGGGAGCTCCCACTTTATATATCTTAACATCAGAGAACTTGACATCAAAAGCATGTGGATAGAAGCATCCTCGGAAGCCATAGAAGTATTCACGTATGCGATCATCACGAAACTCCCGCCGGAAATCTTTAGAGCGCTCCACTACTCCACCTGATTTGGGAAGCAGCACAGTTCGAACAAAGTGAGGCAGGTCTCGCTTCAGTTCGTTGTAGAGGCGTTCCTGATCCAACACTACAACAACATCAACTTCAAAAGCAGAAGCAGCATGTACAAGTGCCTGATATCCAGATCCCTTCACCCAGCCACAAGTATTGATGATACAGCCACTGATTGAAGCTCTGCGGTTCACCTCACAGCGCTGATTAAACACATCA